GTAGATCCATTTATATATTTTTTTCTATTATAATTATTTACATATTTTAAACAAAAAACATAAGGAGTGAGAATAATTATCCAATAAATATCAACAATTACATAATATACATAAAAATATTTAATGCTAATAAATATATATTAATTCTTCTTGATATAAAAATTTGAATTATATTTGTAGTGACTAGTTAGGATAAATGAACATTATAATAACAAATAACTAAAGGTTATTTCACCTTAAATTTTTACTCATTTAAATTTTCAAGGTAAAACTTTCAACTACAAATTAACTCAAACTTTCATTCTTATGGCCATAGAATCATATTTATTTTTATAAATGCATGAAAAAAATAAATAATAATAATAACAAGACGAGTTTAAGATATTTTTAATAAAAATATATTATAGTTAATATTAACATAAAAATAATTAAGCTAAATAAATTTGAGTATTTTTCATTATTTAAGCTTTAATAAAATAAAGTTTACGTAAATGGAGCATATTAAAGAATATTAATCAAGTAAATGACAGTGATAAATATCATAAAATAATTAAACAATATAAACTAGGAACATCTCATTAATTATTAAAAGTAAAAAATATCATAGATTAAGCAAATAAATAAGGTTAGGGACAACCTTACTAAATAAATATACATAGATATAACATAATAAACAAACATAATAGTATATAAAATTTTAAAAGGATAAAGATCTCCTCCCCCTTACCTTAATATTTGAAGAAATAAAAATTTGAAAATTGTTTTGTACCAAACTACCCAAAATACTTTAATGAGACTCTCTCTCATTTTCTTTCTTACGCTTTAGATTTACTCTCTCTCGTATTCACTCTCTTGTCTTCTTACTTTCTCTCGCTCTCCGTTCCCTCAACATTCATTTCCTATTTATAGATAAATCATGTAATAATTACCTGGTTATGCATCAACAACTTTAGTTTCATTTCCTTTTCTTAGTTTCGTTACTATGTAATGCTTAGTTGATAAATGATAAGCAAGAATAAAAAAAAATCTACAACTTTTAGATGATCCCTTATTCGTAAAATCAAAGAAATAATTACATCTAGTATATGTATCATGTATTACCTCATTAATAATAATAATAATACAAAATCGCACTCCTAATTATATTGTATTTATATTATCTTGCTTACAATATATATTTCAGAAATTCAAAATAAATTTATTTCTATTATTTTACTTATATGATATATTCTAAAAATTCAAAATTAAACATATAAGATTTCAAAATTAAATATTTACATTTTGTAATAACAATAACAATAACAACAACAATAATAATAATAATGTATTTTATAATAATAACATAATCAAAACATTGTACTAAAAATTAATATATGATATCTGTTTATTTAAAAAAAATCTTACAATTAGAAATTTAAACTATTATTTTAAGAATAAGATAATACTAATAAAATTAAGAATATATATATATATATATATATATATATATATATGTGGTATGAAAAATTTATAATATTACAGTCATTATAGCCGTAGGTACTATTGTTTTAATATCTTATGATTTCTCAAAAATTGTCACCTTACATTATCGTGAAACATGTTCATAACAAACACATTTAGTATAGAGTATGTGGAGACCTTTGTACTCCACATTATACCAAATGTCGTTAAGCAAAATTTTCACACAACAGGAACATTAAGATTGATCTGAACACAAACTCTAGCAAAACGGCCTCTGAACATAGTGAGTGTATTTGTGTCCATTTTAATAGGTGTACCAATGGTAGAAGCAATTGACATCAACACACTTTCATCATAGTAGACCATTCCAAGTCTTGGAAAACGAACCTTTTCAAATCATCCAAGGTCCACCGTTAACAACCTTTTCCCGATCTACTTCAAGATGGAAGTTGATGATGAAGTAACCATGAGTCACATCTATTAATTCGAAACCAACTTCCAATTTTCAAAAGGAACAAAGTTTCTCGCGCATAGTGATGAAGTCAATCAGCTTCCCTAGGATTTTAAGCACCAAACACTTCTTCCATGGAGAGCACAACTCATCAAACGTTTTCGTCTCGATAGTGAATTTAGGTAGCAATTTGTTTCCTCCTTCGTAGTATAACTGCATGACCCCATCTTTAATGAGATTCCTCACCTTTTTTGGCCTAGGAGATGTTCCTACCAATTTTTCTCTAAAAGTCGTCCTCCGTTGCTCTTCCTCCTTACCATCACTCAGGTGGTTTCGCAGGGATATCACCATTGTCACGTTTTCCGTTAGTAGTCATTCGTGAAAAAATCGCTCTCTTTGTTATCCTGATATTGCTTTAATTACATATTCTAAACTTTCAACAATTAAAGTAATTCTAGATATTTTATTCCAATTTCTATTCTTGATGTTTCCTTGACTTAATTGTGATAATTTCACTACCGATATAAAAAAAAATCTAGCACAAGAACCAAAATAGCAAACAACTCAACCGCAAATATCTCTTATGAGACTCCTTAACTTAAATTATATTTTTTAGTTCTTTACCTTATCTTTTTAGGTTCATTTTAATTTTTTATCTATAATGATTTTGAAAATCTTTCAAATAAATATAATTTGAAACATAAAGTTCAAATTATAACCTAAGATTTAGATCAACAAAGTTAACATAGATGATAGATAATTTTATCTTTTAAATATATTAAGAGTACAATCTCTTGTATGTGTATATAAAAAACATTTATCGGGAGATGCCAACTTTTAAATAAATCTCAACACTTTTAGAAATTAGTCCTTGGCTTCTAAACAAGGAAAATTGTTGAAAAACAATTAAGTTTTGACTTAAATGCATTTTTTTTTCTCAAATACAATAGTTGTACAAATTTTCTTAAATTTTAATTGAAAAACTTTAATTTTTCAAATATCACAGTTGTACAATTTTAATCCCTCAACTTTTAGTTGAGTTTTTTCGGTCCTTAGAATAACACAATTATGTTATATATTAATTAGAACCTTAGGACCAAAATAACATAATTGTAATAATAAAGGAATAAAAAAGTAATTTTTTTTTTGGTTCGTCCCTGAAGTATCTACCGCCGACAGCAGTGACTAATCTCCTCGCTACGTTGGAGGCACCTCAAAGAGTGGGATAGCTGGCCCCAAGATTTAACAATCTTAAAATTTTAATTAAATTAATGAATCACTCGTTGAAAATTAAAATCGAAGTATGCCAAGAGGTACAACTCTTGGGAACCATCACTATATTAAATGAAGTAAATGCATATTAAACATAAAATATCTACTTTCTTGTGAAGTGAAGAATCATTTCATCTCCTATAAATATTACATAAAAAAAAGTAAAAGAACAAAATAAGTGTGATGATTATGTGAAAGAGTTTTTTTTTGTAATGAACGTGTTATATTTTTTGTAACTTTAGAATAAAAATACCTGAGTTTGTAAAGTGATATACACAAGGTGAATTACAATTTTTGTAATCATATTTAATATAATAAAAATTCTTTTAAATGATTTCATAGATGTAGACAAAAAGTATCAAATCATGTTAATTATTATGTGTTGTTTCTAAGGCCTTTTGATGCATGAATAATTATATTTGTGTAAAAAAAAATCACCTTAAAGTGATATTTAAAAAAAGTTGAAAAATACTACATTTAAGTTATCATTAAAATATCACTAAAATATCCATCAAAACTTTGTTTACTTTAATGTATTGCGTTACAGACAAAAATTTCAAGTCCGCTTTCCACCGTTGCTCATGGAATTAATATTAGAGAACTAACACAGAAAAAGGTACCTATCATCTAGGATAAGTAAGTAATATTAGAGTCACGAGAAAAGAGAGTAGATAAAATTGGGATACAGAGCACATTGAACTGAAGTGAAACAGATCTCATTCAACATTCCAACAACTTGACATCACTTTGTGACATCAGGGAAGGGAGAGGAGAAGGGTTGGTCCCAGGATGAGGAGGAAAAACAAAAGCTGCACGATTATGGCAACCTAGCACAGCTAGTGGATAAACATAACCAGGTAATTTCATCTTACTGGGACACCAAGTTATCTGCATGCTGCTCTTGTCTTTGGAATTTGTCTAATAATCAGATAATTCCTAGCTTTAACAATCGATTGATGTAAGACTTTACTCTATGATTTTCAAGGATTGTTATGCGGTCGGATTGTGTAGAATAAACCTTGTGAAACAAACATGTTTAATTGATGTTTGATATACCCTCTTGCATTCATGGCAAAAGAGTAAGATACCATGAATTGCCTTTACAATATAGCTAGGGTTTTGCAAAGCTATAATAAAGAAATAAAATTCTATATATTATAATTTATAACTATGTTCTCTTCTGTTTATTTATTTGTTTTAAATTAAATAGACAAACCATTACCTTCAATACGAGGTTAGCTAGCACATAGTTTTGGACTTTCTTTATGTTAAAATAATGGTGATAATATAAATGTAAGCAAAAATGACAAGTAATCTCTGTATTAATATAATCATATAACTAATTTTCCTGATAAATATCTACCAGTTTTGTTCTTAAATTGAGATATTTTAATAAATTTTCAAAAGCATTTTGAAGAATTTTTTTTAATATTTAAAGAAAGTTGCTTATCAATGCATTTTACTTTATAGAGACACCTGGGAAAGAAGTAATATTTTAAAGCCAAAGCTGACAATTTATTCGAAGTGTTTAAAAATAACGTATCCAACAATTTAAAATCTTTAAATTATATAAATTTAAATCCTCCACTAATATTTTCTCAATTATTAAATAAATAAGCATAAGAAACTTTGTATGTTTTTCAAATATTAGATACATTTATTTCATATAAAATACCGAAAACTTATAAGGGTAACATGGTTGAAGAAAAAAGCGTTTTTCTTTTTAAATAAACTGTATATCGTCTAGATGCAACACGATTTTATAAGTATTTTTCATGCAATTAGTGTGGTAGAACATCTGAAAAGTACACGAAGGTAAGAAATTGGTTAGCATTAAATTTGAGAAAATAAGAGTAATATGGGGGTGATAATACATTTACAGGGACGTCAAGAGCTACCAAATCTAGCTTTTATTAGAATTCGATGAATGTTCAAAGGAAACCAAAAGGGTAAAAGAAAAACACTAAACTATGCCTATTTTTTTTCTCCCTATTTTTGTTCTCTTCTTTTGGTTTGATAAAAATTACAGCTTTTGGTGTAACTGTGAGATTCCCTGCAGAAGAGGGGGATGGGGTTAGTGCTCCTTGCGGAGAAGAAACAATACTGGTCATCTGATTTGTATAATCCTTCCTAATTCATGAATTTCCGGCAATTTGGAGCTTTACATAGGCATGGGACTTTGAATTCATCTGGCTCATCAGGATCAAACAAGTAGTCATACCTGCCCAAACCAAAACAACCAGGATCAATTATAAAGAACATGCACCTACACACTACAACACACACAGGAGAGACACACCAACATGCACACTCACACGCACACACAGAAAGAGAGAGAATTACGTTAGCTCATCACCAGCAGACACGTTAGTCTTAGCGATGAGTACAATCCGGCTCTCCTCATCACCCACACTCATGATCCTTGCATAGCAATTTGGCATACACTGAAATAACATGAACCAAAGAACAGGTTAGATGACTATCCACTATTGAGAATCCAAGAGAATAATGAAATGATGTACAAAAAGAGTCAATTTAAGTTAGGTTGACTTACAGAATGATTAATCAGCCGTGCTATATTCCCTTTATCAGTGGCATCTACCACCACTTCTTCACTAATCTTAAACAGCTGCAAAGATAAGAGAGTAGGGCATTTTAGTTTGATAACATATAAATAATATATAATAAGCAGAGTGCTTTTATTAATAATAATAGGCAGAAATAGGGGAGTTAACTTACATAGCAGTCTTTCCCTTCTAATCTATAGCGCGCCTCCCTCAGATCTGCAATGCTACGTCTCACTTGTTCACCACGATATTCAAGAACCTGATTAGGATTAAAATCATGCTCATTATTGCTATAAAAAAGGTTGTGGTCTGATTCACATGGAAAGCTAGGAAAACATAAAGGATCAAAGGCCAATGATTTTATGCATCAGCTAATGTTAGGATCATAATGAAAGAAAAGGAGATGATATATTTTGCTAACATCTGAACTAGGAACCAGTCCAGAAGAATCCCCAGGACCAAAACAACCAAAGAGGAAAAATAAAGGCAAGGAGATGGCAATTAAACTTTGTCTGGGTTTGCATGATTTTGAAACTGTTTCATCAGCTTGTGTGCTTGTGTTCAAAACCATGTCCCAAAATATCATGATATATTACATGCTTTTTATGCTCTACCATGTTAAATTACGCAGAAAACCAAAGTTTGTCAAGATATTAGAGCACCTTTTGTGTTTTCATTTTTTATTTTCACAAATAATTGCAACAAAGTCATCTTATTTTCACTGTATTTGTACAAATTTATGAAAATAGGAAACAATAAAAACAAAGTGTCCCTTTTATATTTATTTGTGAAAACAAGAACCGAAAACAGCAAATGTTTTCTCAAATCAGGCAGGCCGAAGATATTCAGTTGAAATGAATCACTATACTACATTCTTCCCTCTAAGTCAATACTAGTTAACAAAGCCTTAAGAAAACAGCTTTGGAAATGGGTATTCCCTTGCAAGACAGAAGTCATAATGATGATTTTGAGAAGGGTTCCCTTTTACGTGCCTCTCAGTTTTATGCAAATAGAGTAGAGTACTTCCAAATGCTCAAGTAGGCCAACACCTCATAGGTCTTAAAAAATACTATTAAAAATATCTATAGTTGTTGATTGACCAATACACACAAGCAGGTTATGAGTATGTAATGATATCATTCTAGAGCATGGCATTCATACCATTTCTCCTTCTTGAATATTTCTACGTGCAAAGAGGCCCCATCCATGTATGCCCGATCTACCAAAGCAAACCCGTTCATTTTCAGTTCTCTGGAATCAAACAAATGAAGCCATAAAACAGTCAGAAAATTGACCACTGAGCCAATAATTGAATCCACCTTAGAAAGAGAAGAATTACCTGCAAGTGGTAAAGGCGTTCTCTGAAGGAAGAAAATGCCTGAGGTTCAGGTACCACCTGGATGAGAAAAAAGACGTGAGGCAAAGAAGAGAAAGTAAGGAGGGGGACACAGTTCAAATCATAAATTCAGGTTAAAGGAATGAATAAGAAAATCCAATATGATATTCAGAAGATAAGAGGTTTACTCTGGGTGTATTTAAACTCTGTATTGCATCTAAAGGATGATGATAGTGACCCCTCGCTTGATGAGAAACGGCTTCATCTGCTGCTCTCTAACAATAAGAAGAAATAAAACTGAGAAGTAGAGCACTTGAATTTTTTGAGGTGCAAAGAACACTTTAGAGGCAATAGTGGAGAACTAGTCTACCTTTTTGTTATGGTTTGTTCTTTGAAAGATTCGACACCTAGCCGCAGAAAATGGTTCATGCTCAGTGTTAACAACAGGAGGGTCATCTTGCTTTCTTCTGTTAGATGAGATTAACCTCGAACCAGTTTTTTTCTTAGTTTGGAGAAGGCTTTTGGTTGAAATGACCCCAAGAGGGGTTTGCATAATCAAAACGGTATCTGGATTGGGAGCCCTGCAAAATACAATAGGCATGATTAAAATGAAAGGCTGAAAATAAAATTCAGATTAAGGAGAATTTCAGATAAACCTATATTTTTGCAATTGCAAAAAGACAATTGTTGGGGGTAAAAGCAAACCCTACAAAGAAAACGGTAGAAAGGGGCAAAGGAGGATGAATAATCTTAGTTGGAATTGAGGATTGCATACCTGTGGTAAGCACAATACGAGACCATTTTTGTTGTTTGCCTGCCGTTTTTCTCCAAACAATGCAACTGCATTTAATGGGGAGAAATTTAAAAAAAAAATTGCCACAAATAAAACATGCAAGAATGTGTTAGAACTCTATAATCCAAGAATCTCAATAGAAAAGAGAACACAGAAGAGAAGATAACGAATGATTCTGTTATTAGAACACTGGATGAACAAGAACTCTCCTTTACAAAAGATTGCCCCTTCCCAACAGAGTTCTATGATTCAATACTATTAAGCTACCCAACTTTGCAATTAATCTCCCGTATTTAAACACCCAACTGACTAACATAATATCTACTGACTGAGCTTCTAACTGTTGTGACCACCCTAACTGCTCTTATTCCTTCTAATATACACTTTCCATGTCCTCTCCTGCTTCTGAGGTCTAACAGAATACAACAACAATCAAGTCTTATCTCAGTAGATATGGTTCAGCTACATAGATTAATTAATGCAAATGGGCCCTACCAATAGTACGCTCCTTGAAAATCTTCTTCTACCATATGATTAAAGCTCAAGTGATATAAGTTAAATTAAAACAGGGAGGTAAATTTGAAATTTGCCATTAAACTTGCTTAAAATTAAAAGAGTTTCAAATCACAAGATCTTAAACAAGCCAATTTAATCTGAGTGAACCCTCACCTCCATTCGATAACCGGCCCTTGATGCACACATGGCATGGAAATAAGTGGAACACTTGCAACATTGTGTACATGATCCATGAATTTGCTTGCAAATAACACAAATCTGAAAATTCAAGTAATGCAGACTTTAGATTGCATTTGATAAGAGTGGACCAAGGCATCGAAAGGCAACCCAATGCAAGAGGCTCCCATCAAATGGAGTTCGGGTAGGGTAGATGAACTCAGCCTTGCTCTCACAAGCGAAGAGGCTGTTTCTAGGATTTGAACCTATGATTTCTAGGTTAGGCAGCAACCGTACAGTTGCGCCAAGGCTCATCCTCACCAAGAGATATCTAAATGATAAAATATTAAGAAATCTGGAGTCTAGATAATTTCCTTTATACAACAATCGATGAACAAAATAACCAAATCAGATAGATACTCTTCGTGGTAAGAAGAATTCTTTAATATACCGTGGAATATGCAAAGAATAAAATCACTTCAACTGGTAACTAACATTACTTTTCATGGGAAAATTTTAGTATTCTACCGCACCTTCACAAAAGAGTTTGATGGAATACTTAGAATACCCAAGGCAGGCTCCATCTTCTCATCACTAGCAAAAGAGACTTCAGGTCGAAACCAAGCACAAGTGACATGAACCCATAATGTGTCAACATCAGTCGGCTTTAGAGCACCACCTGGAAGTCCAAAGTTTTTAAGAGAACATGGATCTAGTCATCAAACCAAGATAGAAACATGTCTGCAGAGCATCTTGGTAATAACTTGAACATCAAATAGTAAAACTCTTTCTATGATGTGGCAAAACATGATTATATGATAGTATAAAACACTTACAATGGATCAAAATATAACTCATAGTAAATGCAAGGGGGGATTCTCAGCCATGATGAGTAAAATTGAATAATAGGTGTATATAGGTTAAAGAATCAAGTTGGGCAATTCCAAAAATATTGGGTGAAAATGTTTAAAACTTTTACACACATGGTGGATTGCATGAAACTCATACTACCTCTGTTCTCTATCATAAACAAAAAAAAAAAAGTGATTGTATGCGTATTAAGAAAATTAGTTAATTGCATTAAATTTTGTCCATTCCATAATGTTTTTACTAAATTGTCCTTGTTATAAATGTCCAAAAAAGTGGCACAACTTAAAAGTCATGAATTAAAGAAGGATATTTTAGGGAGAGTATCATTAAATGAGGTAAAAAAGTAGTTGAAAGTTGCTTATATTTATTTGACAACAAAAAAATGTGTATTTTTTGTTACTTATAAAAGAGAATAGAGAGAGTAGTACAAAGGCAAAAATATTCTCAGCCAAGAAGAGTAAGTTGATTTATATGAACATACGTGGTTTAAAAAATCAGGCAGAACAGTTCCAAAAACTAGATATCATAGAGAGGTGAGTCTACATCATACCCGGGAAAAAAGATGATCGCTTTATATACCATACGTTTCAAATATTGCCGAAGACATACCTTTTACAGGACAAAGACAACACTCCCGCTTGATTTCAGGTGTTTCGCAGGTCTTACAAACCCAAGATGTAAAGTCACGGACATTTCTTGCTCCATAGCATTCTTGATGAACAGCTATTTGACATCTGTAAAATATGATTTATTTGTGCGTTATTTACGATACAATTCATCATACATAGTGGAAATAGAGTAACCACAAAAGTCTACATGCAGCAACTTTATGGGTTGAATATTGGCCAAATGAACAAATAACAAACGTAAAATGTTATATTACCTGTTGCAAATGATAATTTTGTTGTAGTCCCAGTCTTCAACCCATCTACAAACAGCACAGCGTTCTGTAGTCCACTTAGCATAAACAGGTTCATACTTCTCTGTCAGAAATATTTTGCAGTACCATTATCACTATGAGAACTTCATACAGCTAATCCATCAAAATGAAAGGTTGTATGAGTTAAAAGGTCACCTTGCAAGAAGGTAAGCAATTTCTGCTTTCTTTCTTTTAGAGAAGGTTTCTTGGGCTTGGCAGAAACTTGAGCAGTAGCATGAAATTCTGCCAACTGCAGCATCTGACAAGTCAAATAGCATTGTATTAGTTGCATGTATCATGTCTAAGAACAAAGACCTCCCCCGCCCCCCCTCCCAAAATAAAATAAAAATAAAAATCAGCAACCCAACTCTTCCTTCTTCCACGTGTCCCATGTCATAAAAAAACACAAGACCAATATTATGAGTTCCCAGATTCTCATTTTATGTTTCAATACCATTTTGACACTGAAGAGTACAAAATTCATATAAAACGTTGATATTGACGTATGGACATATTATGAAATAAATCTAAGACCTTATCCATAAGAAGGAAAGAAGTTCAATTAATAAGTATAATACTAATCGGAACAAGAATACCGTACTCTACTTATATATAACAAGCCCTTAAGTACATTAAATGTATAAAAGAGGGTGGTTAGACACTTGAACAACATTAATAGACTAAATTAACCGAAAGTAGAATATTTTCGGTACAAAGAGACAAGGAAGTACTATGAACCAAAAAAAAAAAAATAGTCATATACAAACCCATTGTTCCAGAGGTAGCATGGAGTCTTTCACCCTAATACTTGTTCTCCAATTTCTTAATTTGGAACCCGTGTGTCGTTCCCATTCACTCAGTGCTTGCTTTTCTGACCCACAAAACCCACACTTGCACACAACTCTGAAGGAGAAGAACATGCATCATAACCAAAAAAAGAAATTAATCATTTTCCAATCTAGAAGTAATAACAACAGCACATTCAAAATTGCCATCAACAAAATTGTAACATTGTAATGTGATGTTTGAATGAAAGCAACATTAGATATCAGAAAAGCTGTGCTTGCACCTTAAGTATGAAGAAAACAAACTACATCAAGTACTTTCTCACACAAATTTTGGTAGACATTTGATAAATGTGCAACTTGATGAAAATTACGAATCCTTCCAAGGATTATAAGTGAAAGAAAATTTACTTGGGCATAATTTCTTATTAGACTACTAGTTCGTAATGAATTACAACAAAAGAACATAAGCAGGAACGTTCAACAACTAATGCTATATTCTTCCTCTAAAAAGCAAAATAAAAAAAAAATCAGATTATATCAGATAGGTACTAATTGCCCACCTTGAAAAAGGCATTAATATATTACTACTTATGACACCATTAAATACAATTCAACTATTACAAGTAATAAATAACAATAGCAATTTTAAAAATTAATAAAACTATGATAGTCACAACAGAGGACAGAGAATATTTTTTATCAAATACTTATGAAGGACTTTGTGCTTACGAATGAAGGCTTGGAAAATATATGCCCTCCACACCATTGCAGAGAACAGTGACCTTATTCGGAAGCCCTAGCTGCCCATTGTTTTTGTTCCACCTGTACCAAAGCAGCCACAACAGTTAGAAAAAATACAAATAATCTAACGTTTTTTTCTGAAGTGCTACAACAATTTCTTTGACACTCTTATTATTGGGCAAATTTCATGTGGATCCCACTAAATAGGGAATGGGCCCCACATGATTTAATGGGTCAAACATAAATTTTACCCCATAAGAAAATCTGTTTTATTAGCATTCCTCTAACTAAATAGAAATATATAAATTGGTGTATGAACTTGAATCACAAACGATAGGCTTCATGAAAAATAACAAGAAATCATCAAGGTTATATCACAAAGCCAGGGCAAGACGAGACAAATAAAAGGACTATAACAAACTTACTTGACTTTTGGCTGTGATTTTTCTGAATCAGATAACTCAAAATCAAACTTGGCTTTGCAAGTAGGGCAGTAATAATCAGTGCCTTCAAGATTCTAAGAAAAACAGAATACACCAATCAGCAAAAAACCAAAATATCATTCATGAGCTTGAAAATGCTGACAAGTGACAATATTAAGATATCAAGTAATGGATAAACCTTGAAAAGGTTGCTAGAAATTTTGTCACATTCTGCATGCACCCACACTTTGCATCCATCACAGCGCACCTAATTTGGAGGGAACATCCACAATGGTTAAAAAAATTAATACTGCAATAAGAAAAGAATAACCTTAATAGCTGACAGGATTTAACTAACTCACCCAACTTCCACTATCTGAATGATTCCAAACCTTCTTGCATATGCCACAATAATGCTTTGATTTCGTTAACTGCCAAAACAATGATTTAAAGACTGAAAAATATTCTAAAATACAGTACTTCAATTATAATGCTTTTGTTCAAGACTTAAATATAACTGTTAGAAGAAAAGGCAAGATATACAAACCCTAGCACATGTTCTACACAGGAATTGGGCACCAGAACTTGAATCCTTTGTTTTCTTTAGCATCCTGTAAGGAAGTCTCAATCCACAGGCTTCACAGGGCCCTGTCTCTTTCTTATCAAATAAATCCTGCAATGGGAATTCAAATCAACAAACCATTAAACTTTTGCAGCATTACTCACTCCATCACTTACACTGAGTAATAATTACACAATCAAATCAAATTAAAAAAAAAATGTCAAATTTACAAGTCAGTCTCGGGTCTACTACAAATGAGATAAGAAACTATCAGTGCTGAGTCAATTTCCAGTTGCAAATAAAGTTTATATTATCATTAATTAGCTTTCCTCAAGTGTCCCCTAAATATAATGCACGAGTATTTAACAGCCATGCAGTTCCCCAAACAGGTGGCAAAAGAAGAAGCAGACACCATTTAGCTGACTTTACCTGGTTCAGAAAGTGATATCCTGCATACTGGTTTGAACCACTGACCTCCTGAAAGGCTTTCAGAATAGAATCATCATAACCATTATTCCCAGCTGCTGTATTTATATCTGCTATCAACTTCTCTGTGAAACCCCTCTCCGCCAAAAATGCCTCCTCTACTGCCATTTGGAAGTCAGAAGGATTATAGTAACTCAACTCAGACTGCCCCTGAAACCTAAACCAAGGAACATCACCCCTAGTAAGCAAAATGGAAAAATCCATCCACAAAGAAACACCAAGCATAGTAGTTTCACACAATGTAAACAACACAACCAACAAAAACTCCACACCTGTCCACATAATCCATAAATGGAAAAATCATCCCATGCTTCACCCATGCATAGTCCTGCACCAAATCACAAACACCACAATAAATACACAATTTCCTAAATATCAAAGAAGTATTCTGCATATAGAGAGTAACAGAAGTGACAAAACATCGAGTCTATTTGGATAGAAGTTTAAAAACGATTTTGAGAATTTCTGTATTATAAAAAATTCTATATTTTTAGTAGATAAGCTTTTAAAAGTGTTTCTAGCATGTATCCAAACAGTTTCATTACATTAGGTTACATACCCTTTGATTTTCATTCCCCGCGTACCCAAGAAACATGACACAAGCTGCATCAGCTATGCAAGACCTGAGAACCAACTCAGGTGCCTGAGACATAGGATCAATAACAATGGCTGGCCAAAAAGGTTCCTTTCTCCCAGCTTTGGCCCACACTATATCACCCGCATAAAAATCTTCGGGTCCAAACAATCCATCTCTCTTCAAAACCCCTTCCACCTCCAAAAACCTTCCCCTCTCATCTTCTTCAACCACCACCCCACGCCTCAAGGCCAATGCGCCACCCTGCAAACTCAAACACTTGCTCTTATCATCAAAACTCTTGCACAATGCGGAGTACTTGCGAGCCTTAGAACTCGTCTTCTCCTTCTTCTGATTGCAAACTTTGGGTGCCCTGAAACTGAACTTCTCCTTCTTGCATTCAAATTCTTCGTCATTATCACAATCCCGCAAGCCGCTACTACTCTTGCTCTCCTTCCTCCAATTATCAATAACCGAGTCGTTGAACCGCGAAGGCAGAACCTGAACCCGCCCCCTCGAAGTCCGAACCAGCGGCGGCCGCTGAACCTCGCTCTTCTTCTTCACTTCCACCGCGACGACGTCGTTTTTCGCGTCCGGTTCCACTTCGTTGCACGACACCTGCGTGCACCACGCCGCAGAGAATCCCTTCTCCGCCACGCCGGCGGCGCCGAGCAGGCCGTGAAAGCTCACCGGGATTACGCCGGCGGCCACGTCGCGGAGAAGGTTCAGAGGGTAGTAACCATTGGTCTTTCTCTTCTTGCGAGCGTAGGAACACTCGTCGTCCTCTCCCACCGAGTCACCGACTCTGACCCGTTTCAGACTCGGCATTTGGGATTTCAAGTTCCGCTTGATAATCATGGTTCTCGCCGAGTGACCAAATCACGATGCCCGCATTAAATTGAATCCACGGCTGGTGTTAAAATCCCAACTTCTAGAACCCCAGAAGCAAAGATTTCACCCCCGACGCCAAACTCGCGAGACGCGCCATAAACCCTAATCCCGAATTGAAATTCGGAGAAACAGAGCAACCGCGGAAGCGCGAGGCGAGGCCGAATTTCGCGAGAGTATGGTCAAGAAAGTGAAGGAATTGAGCGCGAGAATGTTGGAGAGCCTGATCGAGAAGATCGAATGAGCAGAGAAGAAGAAAGAGGGATCTCTCAGTGAACAGAGAGAGAAAGTAGAAGTTCAGAAGATAAACGTAAACGAGAACAATTTTTTTGTTAGAGAAATTGCAATGTAATTTGTATTATGTGGGAGTGGACATAAAAAAAATGTTACATAGGACGGTGTTTTAATTTGGGAAAATTTAGAGAGAGGAAGAAGGAAAAGGGTGACAGAGCAAGACTAGAGAGAGAAGTCTCGGCGTTATCTTGAACGTGTTCATATGTTATGTAGTTAGTTTAGTTGATGGGGCCAGTGGCTAACTTGCGCGTTGCGTGTAATTCTTCTTCACCTTCCTCGTGCTGTTCTCCTTCGTCAATCGTCAATCGTCAATCGTCAATCGTCATCGTGGGCCTGTATCATCTTACCATTTTATAAGCTTTCTAATTGCTATTGCCATGCCTGAGTTAATGTTCCAACCAGAGTATATTAAATGACCCAATTTGTTCCAACAATTTTGGAGACATAATGTCACATTTGTGTATGTCTACATTTGGGAGACATGTTTATATCGTAAATGTTCTTGTCCTATGATTTGGTATGTTTTTTTTTTTGTCCACTTTGGGATATGAAAATTTCACTGCCACAATAGTGTGCTAGAAAAATTTGTTTCATGGATTCTGATATTATGGTATTCTGTGGCGGGGGAGGTACAAATATTTGTTAGATCGGATGTACATTGCTTGAAATTTATTTTTCTTGTTTTGTTGGAGTTAGGCTTTGAGCAGAAGATTGCATTTGAAAATTTGGTGGACTGGCAATATATAATTAATTTACCTTTTTCTTTTGTCACCAGAATTTTTTTTTTTTTTTTTTCTGTTGTAAGAGGAGGACGTGCAACAGTGCAAATAGAGTGATCTCGACCCATCTCAATTCTTAAACAGTTAAACACATTTATTGTTGTGAAATTTGAGATTTTGGAATTTATTTAGTAATTTGATTGGATGCATGTGTTTGAGTGAGGGATTGAACGACGGCGTTTGATTCTTCGTTCGCACCAAGGATGAGTTGGGCACGTGAGAATTGGATGCTTTAGGTTTAGGGTTCTGATTGGATCTACGCAATACACACCACTGACTCCACTTTCTCAATTTGATGGGTTGTTTTGGTTTTCTAAAATTTAGTTTTTTATTCCAAGACGAAACCTCCGGTTCTGGACTCATGGGGTTGGATAATTGGCTATCAACCATGGATACCGATGAAGGTTCTAGAAATCATTTGGTGATTATAAAAAGAAGAAAGAAAAAAAAAAAATCATTGGCTTTTCTAATTTTAATTTTTGATTTTATTTTCGTCCGTGAACGAAACCTCTCGGCCGCTGTGAAGCCGTTGAAAATTATTTTTGTTTGTTGATCGTCTCTAGCAATAGAATAAATATATATGTACATCTTTTGGGGTATCTAATTTATGGGTATTGGATAAGATGATTTATTTATTACCGAAAAAGAATAAACACGAAGCTGGTAGTTCCCCTTAACTTGGAAAGCACTGTACCAAAGATTCTGCTCAAAATGGGAGGTTATGGTTTTGTGTATAAAGTCTGAACTGAGCAACAATAATTTTGTTTGCTAGATTATTTTTATTTATCCATGTAGTTAAAGGAAAAAGGGAGAGAGAGAGAGAAATCATGAGGTGCGAGGGAGCAAGAAGATGATGAACTGTTCATCACGTGTGAGGGAAGTTAAATTTAATATTTAATTCAATGTAAATAGTCAAAGATTAATTACTTAACATGCGGTTATCTTTATCCTCCCACTCCCTTAATAATAGGTTGATAACTTTTCTTTTTGGTATTTGATTTTAGACAGCGTTCACCTTAGTTAAAAATACGTTTCCCCAGCTGGTTTTGAAGCCGAAGATGAAAAGATAGCGATCACTTTTTAAATTCTTTGACCAAGCAACAGAGATCAAATGTCAACAATGTTAGGTAACTCCATGTCTTGTAGAGGGTCCAAAAGTTCTCACAATTTTCGTGGGTAACTACACTAGTTAATTTTTTGTTTTGGGGTCATTTTATAAGTTTCCTGGCTAGAGTGATGTGCATCCAAAGTATATTGAATGATGCAAGGGATACGATAGTGCAAGTTCTGCTCGTGGTGGAATTGGTCTTCTGTTTTCTGCTTCAAAGATGCTTTTCTTTCTGTCTATCTATCCCCTCGAAGTGAGGAATATCTATCAATATCATAGTGGTGGGTTCCTTTCAGCTTTTGTGATCTTTGGATCATTGGAAGAAAAAAAATGAAAGAAGGACCATGTTTTATCATTGACTCTTAAATACAAGAGTTTCTTTTTAGGGGGTATGTTAAGTCTAAGAGCTTGAGTTTGATATTTAAGTTTTCACTTGTTTTGTTTGGGTTTGACCAATAAGATTGATGTTTGTGATTGTGTATAGGAATAGATAAATAAATGATGAAGAGAGATAATAAAAAGGGTTTGAGTTTGGGTGGTGACAGAAAGTGGGTATCTTCATTCTCAGAGGCTCGGCCAAGGCCTGCCTGCATGCATTGATAGTTTTGAAGAATCAAATAGATAAGTCAAGGCTGGCGGCTAAGCCAACTTGCCTTTGTCTAATGCTCCAATCTTAATAGTTAATATTATTTCTCTCTCTTTTATTTATTCACTTTAAAAAATAAAAATTTATTACTTTTTTTTTTTAGAGTTTAGATTTCAAAGTACTTGTCTTGATTATGGTTTTTTTTTATTATACAAGACTCAACTCTTGGTACGAAAGAATTTGTTAGTTCTAATTATAATAATATTTAGCATATGAATAGGTGATCGTATATATTACTCACTATCACTTATTATTCTCTCATATAAGAAGCTATCAAAACATTAGTAAGAATCTGTTATTAATCGGCAAAGGAAGATATAAATTATTGTAGATTTATTATGACTACTTGTATAGATTAATCAATCATCAATGGGGTGTTGTTGTAATTATTGTGAGAGAAGAGTGCTTGGAACACTTTAGACACGCTCTGGAATTTACTTGTTTACTAAACCTACACTTTAGACAAACAACACTAGTAAAATCATTAGAGTTAATGGTGAGTTTAAATAATATATACAAATTCCTAAATCCTAAGATTGTTATTTCTTACACAGAAAAACAGCAGCAACAACCCGTAAAATCTTGTACTAAAAAAATGTGGTGCTTGCAGGAGTGTTGTATATGGATAATAGTCAAGATTTTATTGGTTATAATATTTCACAGTTCACATATAGACAAGGAAACTACGTAGCTCATGAGCTCACAAAATTTCCATCTTCTAATTCTGATTAGATTTGACTAGAGGAAGCTCTTGTTTGTATTGTCTCTATTCTTAATTTGGATTTTTGTCCTAATCTTGATTGATTGAAATCTATTATTTTTTCTCAAAAAAAAAAATTAAATGTAGTGATGGTGACATGGCATAAACAGAAAACATGTATATGCAATGATCCACCTGTCCACATCATAGTACATCTTACTTTTAGCCCACAATCTGCAAAAGGTAAATAAGTCACTTTTCACGCATCACGCACACATTACATTCATGTTTACCCACAAGTTCTAACAACCAGTTTTGTTTATAATCTGGACATCTAGCATATTTGGAAAATGAAATTGTAGTTTGACATCTACACGAAAAGGTTTTTGATGCCATACCATTGTAGCATAAGCAAATACAATAGTTGAATATTTTGATTTAAGCAAATAAGCAAACACTTTGATTGCACGAAGGGTGAGATTCAATTGGATGAAGAGTTATTAAGCTTTACTCGATTTCACTAGCATGTGATCCAATTGGACTTAATTTATGCTGAATGCTCTGATTCCTTCCACTGGCCACTTAAACTAAAAAACAAAAAGAAGTGTTGCAACTTGCAAGGTGCCCAATACCCATGGAATGATTCACTGGGTGGGAGTTGTCATGTGTTTCTTTACCAAGCAATTCTCACCTTTCACTAAACTTCAACTTTCACCTATCTTCTTAACTTTAATGTTCTAATCTCATTCTTCGTCACTCCTGTAATCAAAATCAAGGGAACAAACAAAAACTACTAAACCAAAATATATAAATAAAAAAAAAATTAAAAATGGAATCATTTCTTTATTCTGAAGATATAATTCACATAGTTTTTCAAAACTAAAAATCAAAAACTGAAATACACTGGTCAAACATTATTTTATGTTCTAAAGAGAAAGAACACCTTTTCAAGATGAAACAAGGTTAAAGCCGAAATTTAGAGATGAAGCTCATCAAATACGGGACAAAATAAACAATCTAGCACATTACCACATTCCATCAATCCAGATATCCAGATGTGATTGAAGGAATGGAAGAATGATACAAAGAATAATGCAAAAAATATTGGACGTCCATTTCAAAAAAAAAATAGTGCAACTAAACCTAGCTATGTGACCAAATTAGTAATTCTGACCCCAAAAATTATTTCATTTTTTAATGCAATCTTCTAACTTTTTTTTTTTTTTTTTTTATCGATAAACTTTCATCTTCTAATTTGACTCTTGGTTTCCCTCATCACCATATCGAAACTTAACGAAGGTGTTTTACATGTCATCTATGTGATTCCAACAAAGTTAATTTATTCATACACAATACTTACATGATCCTGTCAAAAGTTTATTAAATCATACATGACATTTAGGTGACTCTACTATAATTCATATTCTCTAATAACATGGAAATTTGGAAATTATAAAATAAACAAATGTGAAAGTTATAAGCCAAGGGCGGAGAAGGAAATTATTGATGTTACCTTGCGATTTCATGATATATATGAACATAGTACAACTTTTCTTTTTCTTTGTTTTATTGAACAAACCTATTTACAGATCTGGAGGGTTATTTGCGTTTAAAGAGACGATTAATAGAAGAGTAGATAAGAGATGAACTAGGCTAAGAAGTTTGGGGTCTGGTTTATTCAGCAAATATCTGCTCAAACATACAGAGACTCCCATAATTCTAATCACACATTACTGCTGAGTTTTTCCATATAGCTTGATCAGATATAGCTACTTTCTTCCTACTAACTCAGTCACAAGTCATTCATTCCCTCTTCGACTCACACTCTTCAGTCCTTGCAAATCTTCCACGGATTCTTGGTTGACTGTCAGCAAGAGCCTTCCTGCAAGCATACTGAAACCAAACTATATATTATCAGTTCAGTTCCGGATCTGTTTATAGCCTGAAAATTGCATCAATCAGACTTTGTTGCATATGAAAATTTTTGTTTATGGCATACTTAACAACTTAAAAGCAATCCAAGGATTATGCAAAGAGCTATTGATAACAACACATCAAGGATTATGCAAGATTTTCAAGAGATATGTTGTGCATTCCATAAAATTTTCAGGGCTTTTTATTCATGTGAAACTCTTACATGTTAGAGGGATGGTGAACTTATAATTACCTTGATTTTCCTCCCAAAATTCCTCTTTGTCCTCTTATTCCTGTATCTGGAGAGCTTTTGGAAGCGTTCCTCACTGGTGCAGTTGCTGATAAGAAAGGGCCTCTCATGAGGTGACTGGACGATGTTCATGTTACCATTACCAAGAGTCTGTCACAAAAACAGTATCAATCACCCAATATACTTTTGAGTAAATCATGAGATCTTGGTGAGTTTATTCAAGAAAACAAGACGAATAAATAAGTAGGAAGAATTTAAAGAAGAAGTTGTTTTTGATTCCACACAATGAGGCATAATTTCCTGGATAAAGTCCCACATTTCTGGATGTAAAAGAGAGGGGGTGTTTTGTTCTTAACCAATCAGAATCGAACTTGTTAACGAAAGAGTTTATAACAACTTGTACAGTGACTTAACCAATTGAACTGGACCCTAAGAAAGAGTAGTTTGAAAAGACATGAGTTCAGATAGGGGCAAATAGTGAAAGATATTTAATTACAATGAAAGTTCATTAAAGGGGCATTTGTATATCAAGAAACAAGTTTATGTATGCATAACATAACACGTGAAAAACGGAACCATTCTGTTAAAAAGAACTTGGTGTATTTTAGTAACAGCCTTTTAATTTGTTTAAATTTTTGAAACAATTAAACTAAAAGGTTTCGACATAAGCAATCTTTAAAATATTAGGTTGTAAGATAATATTGTCAAATTTGTTATTTCTAATTAAGCAATCAGATTCAGTTCATGTCATCATTCCCTTCTTTTTCATTTCCGTACTGCTTAAATCTTGAGACGTAACAGAAGATCAGTTGAATTTTGATAGGGGTAAAATTTTCTTCTTGACTGAATTCAAAAGGTAGTTAAGTCTCTCTATATTGAGGTGAACAAAGATTCCGACAGGAGTCCATGATTATAATTTATAAATGTCATTGCTTCAACTACCAAATTTTAAGCTATTACTCTATCAAGGAAAGAAGCAGAATTCTGAAAACACTTCTAACTTCAAGACAAAGTTGCCCCCCAAAGATGTAGTGGAGTAAAAAAGAAGGCATCATCTTCAGACCACTTCGTGGAGATTTAACTAAAGTTTATAAATAAATAAAAATGATAGTGTATATCCAAATTGGTTAAGTTGTCTGATAAAAAATAATTGGTTAAGTCAAACCTTTATATCTCCTTCACTAAATGATCTCCGCATGCCATAAACTGCATCAAAATCTATTGCAGGGATATCAATGAAAGCAGGCTTAATTGCAGCTCCACGTATCCATTCCATTGAGCTCAAACTTCCTGAGCTGACACTCTTTGCTAATTGCATGTCAGGAAGTGGCTTGTTCTCTTGAATTGAGTTCTCATCAATGTTCAGAAAAGGAACCTTGATTTCCAGAATCTCAGAGAGTGGTGACTCTATTGCTGCCTTTTCTAAGAGATCCTTTCTGCATTCATAAAACACCTCGCTCAGAAACTGATCAGTTTGAAGAATATCAATATCTGTGGATTTTAGTCCCTGTGGGGAGACATCTTCCCCACAAGATATCATCGAAATGGCCACTGTCATGGGATCTAGGTCCATCATTGGCTCTTCAATAATGGGTTCAGGAGCTTTGAACAGATCTCCCTCTGCTGCCAAATCATACTCTGACATGGCAGAAGACTGAACAAGATCATCCTGCATTAGAAACATGGGGAAATAAACAAAAAAAAAAAAAAAGTAGTTAACTGATGTAATACGGCTATAGAAATGAAATTAATTTTTAATTTTTAATTGTAGAGCCTAATAAAGATAGAATTAAAGAATTGATAACCATAATGCAATGACTAATAAGCAAAGCCAGAATGTAAGCATTAAATCAAAAACAACACAAACGATGTTGAATGGTTACTAAACACAGACAAATTATGATAACTTTAGTATTGTAGCAAAAAAAAAGTTGTAATGGACCAAATGAAGGAATGGACACATCACAGGTCAAATTCCAGAATCCAGATGCGGTATGGGTTACAATGACTCACACTTCTCCCATCACCCTCCCTTCAGAAAGAAAAAGATGTATAAATAGCACTTTTTGGTTTTAGTCTATACCAACTGGTTATCTACTTATCATGTTTAACTTTCTAATGTCGAGAACTTGCTCTAAAGGTGGTGTTCCTGATATCATCAATGATGCCAAAAGTTGTCATGATGATATTGCATGATTCCATCAAGTAAAGTGATTCTTTAAGCAACTGACACATTATAAATTTCTTAGAATGGGCAAAAGATTCCAATTGCACATCATGGTCATCCAACCAAAATAGAGTTTAAAGATGGGATTAGACCAAATAGTCATTGTTCCTGGCCCTTTTTAGAAAGAGAGGAAAGAGAGAGAGAGAGAATCAATCTGAGACAGTGAGGTGACAGAAAAAGCTATATGTCAGTAAGAGACTTGAGCAAGGGCTTCAAAGAGTTTACAAGCATAATCTAAGAAATATGTAAGATTCTCCAATTTAGGAAATTGGCTCAAGTACTTATTGCCAGAAAAGGATTTTCTTTTCCTTTTTTTTTTTTAAATATTAGTACAAACTAAATTCCACTCACAGTAGCAAACACCATATTTCTACTGCAAAGCAGAAGCCTTGCTGTAAATGATATGTGCAAATGCATATTCAGCTTAACCTTCACAAACAAAAGGGCTTAGATTAAGATTCAAAGACCATGCACTAACCAAAACCTGACTATGAAAGAAAAACTGGGTGTTAACAGATGAAACAGTGAAACTAGCACCACACACAGTCCAGAATACACTTGATTACAACTCAACTGAAGAATAAGGGAACTATTTTCCTTCTGATGAATTATTAAAATTAGTATATAAAAAAGGAAGCCAGTTAAAAGCAAATAATTGAACAAATATTCACACATCAAAATATCAAAAACAGCAAAGGTTCGAATCCTATCTTTGTCAATCATTTAAGGCTACTTTGCAAGTAATATCATTATAAATCCCTACACTATACCCGTAGTGGATGGCCTTCCTTTGACAAAACCAGAAGGTGGATTAGTCAAGGTGCACGTTCCCTGATTACAAGGCACTATTGCCTGAAAAACTTTGTTTGAAATTTCAGTGACCAAAACAGCAAACCACACCAAATGAAAACAACTACTTTTATCACTTATTTAAATGTAACAGGAGCAGAAATGGAAATAACCTTTCTAGAACCATATTCAGTGCCCGACAAATACCATGAGGAAATGATTAAGTTGAGCATTAACAAACCCCTTTCATTTACCCTTTTTCCTTACTATAAAAAAGAAAAGCGAATAAAAGGGCTTTTCTCTTTAATCTCCCTCCTCAGTGCGGCGCAAAAGGACAAACCGCACTCACAGTTCACACTGTAAACTTGAAACAACAGGAAGAAAGATTATACAAGACGGAACTATCACATAGAAAATACTTCCCTTTTATGCCCTTTTATTTTTCCTTTCCTTTTTTCATACTTTTTCAGATCCAGCGTATGAATCCAACTACAGTTGTTTCCACTTGTGGTATTAATAAGAGAAAATATTCATAAAGGAAGGAGCAAAACTCAAATGAATAAACATATATTTCGTTTCAAAAAAATTGGTTATCAGTTTTCCTTCTTCAGCTTGATATCATCAATCAAGCAAGGAGCTACACATCATGAACTAAAAGAGGAAGAAACACTGCAAAAAATCTGAAATGTGAGAAATAAATATTTACATGCAAATCAAGACACCAGCACATGAAAAACTAAGTTTAATTCGATATTCCGAAGCGACCCTTTTTTCGTTGGCCCATTTTCTCCAAAGAAATGAATAGGGAGCATTCAGAATAAGGAATAAATAGGAGGGGAAAGAAAGAAAAGAAATTTGTTTGATAGAAAAAATCAAACAAATGCAGATATAAACAGAGGAAAAACAGGGGAATGAGCAGAGACAGTAAGAGGGTAAAAGAGGAAGTGAAAGATACCACTGAAGCATTGGACTTGTGGGTTTTGCAGTACTCCTCAAGCTGATGAGGCTCTTGAGAGAAGTTGTTGAAATAGTGGAAGAGAAGACCAGTCTCTGCATACATTTCTCCAGTACAGAACTTGGTTTGGATAGAAATATGTTCCAATTGAAACAGGGCAGAAGCAGAGCAAGAGAAGCTCAGAGAGAGCGGTGTACGAAGGAAAAATGAGGGGAGGGGTTTTTATTTAGAAGAAACCAAGAGAGAGAATTGATATTTATATGTGAAAAAAAAAATAGTGAGTAAATACGGCAATAATTATAGTATACTTACAAGAGTTTGGAAATGTATGATATGATGTGAGAAGGAAGTATTAAATAAAGACAAAGTAGGAAAAGGACAGAACCATTTTATAATTCAGTGTTCCCAATCATGTTTCATGTCATGGCCTTTTTAAAGAAAAATGAAAAAGGGAATTGTTTATGATGAGTGTGTGTGAGTATATTAAAGAATTCGTGGCACAATATTTGCGAATGGCAGAGGCAGATGAAGCAAATGGCAGTGGAGTTTGGACATTATGGTAATGGTGGAGAGGATGGTGGGTGCCTCTAACTCGACACTATTCGTCACTCAGGACAACAGTTGCCTCTTGTAGCCGTAGCCTTAACATCCAAAAAAATTTGTGTATCAAATATTCCTTTAATTGAAATCACATCTAGTTTATTTTTAAAAAGAAAACATGCACTCAATATCTATTAGGATTCTTTAAATAACAATGCACCTATTTTATTTTTAATTATTGTTACCGTTATTTTATTGATTAACTTGCACGCATTATACCCTTTGAGTTAATGTTTCTTAACAAATCCAGTTTTCCTTTGCCACATTGATCATTATACCTTTGTAGTTTTTCTCTACATTGTTTCATTGTGATCAAGAAGGGTTCATGGAATAGTGATAACTTCTTTGTGAAAGAGTAGTAGCTTTTTCCAACGATTCTTTTGTATAAGCTATTATCGCCGCTTTATTGTATTTGATGGCATGATTGCTATTGAAGGAAAATTCTCCTTTGCTTTCATACTATTTCATTTTCCATCCTTTCTTTTTATATTGATTGTAGAAAATTGGCTTCTATATTACTCTTCATTTCCATTTTTGTTTGTAGCATTGAATGGTGAGGTATTTCTAGTTTTGAAGATATATTTTAGCACATCTAACGTCATGTGCTTATTTGTGACATATTTTGTTGCATGTTTGGCTCATTCCAACTTATATAAAAGTTAATTTGCAAGTCTTATTAATTAGAATGTGTTGGGAGACCACTTCTCACCTTTTTCGATAATTTTTTTTTCTTTGAATTTCTCCATCTATGCCCTATCGAGGAAGTAACCATCGATAAAATATTTTGAAGAATTCATTCCCATTTATGACTCTCTCGTACTATCTTTTACTATGTTTTGTTTTGCCAAATTTAGAGTTAGATGAATTTTGTGGCAATTCTACGTAATTATTATTATTATTTTTTTATCAAATGCAAGTTTTCATGATATGGTGACCACCCTTATTTTTAATCGCTTTTGTTAATTAACTAATTAACTATTGATGGACTATTTTAAGTCATGCCCATAATGTTTATATGTGTTAAAAACTTGTTTTTATTTATCAAAATTACAATGATGATAATTGTATTTAAATTCAAAATCTTTATTTTATTTTAATTCTTAATTACTAGATTGATTCTAGTTATTTATATATGTATTGGGAGTTTAATTAGTTTGTATTGCAATGATTATAGGGATATAAATTTTTATTGCACATGTACTTTAAGATATATTCAATTAATATTTGGATTGATTTTAATTACAGACATTAATATTAATTTTCAAGGAGTTTTATGCTAAGATTCTAGATTTATTATATAGGTTTAAATGTATTTTTTTCTTCAAATATTATAATTAAGCGATTTTAATATCTTAATTTTTAATTGAATAATTTTAATTTTTAAATATTATAATTATATTACACTATAAAAAAGTATTGAAATTATATAATTTTAGCTCATCTCATTGAAAATCTAATGAATTTTACTAAGGTAGCACTAATAAGCAACAAACGATGTGATAAAATGATATATACATTAATGTGTTAGATAACATGATGTAATAATATAATATAATATGTAGAAATAAGATTAAAAATTGTCAAAATATTTAAAATGATATTATAACCCACAATTCTTACCTTCTAATAACACTTAATCATCAAGTTAATAAATTTCATTAACATAAATGGTAGTTATAATATATTTATTTTCAACGGAAACCACAATACTATATGTATTATTAGAATTAAAAATATAATATCTAAATTAATATTAATAATATTAATTATTGATAATATTAATAATATTAATGGTATATTATAGATAAATTATTATTTTAAGAAATATAAATATATAACAAGAAGATTAATTAAAAAATATGATATGAGTATTAAACATTTAATTGGTATATTTTAATCACTAAAATTTATATTTATATCATTATTTCTGATTATGTCTCTTCTAATATATCTATATCTTATCTAGTATATTTATATTTTGTAAAAATATATTAATATATTTTAATTTATATGTGTACTTATTAAATTATTGATTTATAAGTATGTTATTAATATTAATTTATCAATAATATTACTAATACCAATAATATATATTTTATTTATTTAGAAATAATAAATATTTTTATACAAGAATGAATATTATCGTATATGGCTTAAATAAGTCATATAATTTTAAAATATTATTAAATTTATATGTTTTATAATATATTAATAAACTAATAATATTATTAGTATTAATTTATCAATTATATTATTAATATTAATAATATGGGTGTATGAAAAGCACTTTGTACTTTTGTAAAACTTTAAAAAATTATATAATAATAAATGATCAATTGAAAGTATATGAACGATTATTATGAGGTGGTATTTATATAAAAAAAAAGGATAAAAAAATTGTGATTTATAAAAGAGTAGTTAGAGGATATAATTGAGCAAAAATTGTGTATATCCAAAAGTTTAATTTCTTTATTATAATTATAGAATTATATATTATAGATAATATAATTTTTTTTATTTAATAATAGTAAATATTGTATAATTTAAATTTCTACAAATTATATATGTTATAAAAATAAATTATTTATGTTTTTATTTATAAAATTCAACTTAAAATAATTGTTTGTTATTTTATATAAAATCCAATTCATATTGTGTTATGTATTAATTATTTTTAGATTAAAATACTCCTAATTAAAATATATTTTTTAGTTCAATAAAATGAATTTATTATAAATTCTTTAAATAATATGCTCTCTAATTGATTAGAAAAAAGATATATATTAATTAAGAGAGTTAAATATATAGATATGTATTTTAATTGGTTAAAAAATATATGAGTATTGTTTAAGAGAAAAATTAGTATAAGGATAATTTTAGGAGCAAAATATAAATAAAAAATTATTATCAATTAAATTAATTATCTTTCTTAATTTTATATATAAAAAATGTTATGAGTATACTGATTTTAATGAAACTATCTTTCTAGTCGATAAACATATTTTTTCTGGTCAAACATTATTTTTACACAAATAAAAATCAAATTTAAAAGTTTAAGATGGATTCTATATTTTAAGATAAAGCTTACAACTACTATATCCAAAGATTTGATTAAAAAGAGATTTGAATCCCCATATATACACTCTCATCACTTTTGTCATTTTTAAACCTGAAAATTGATAAATATTAATCAGTTATTTACTTTATATCATTTTATTCTGTTTTTATGCTACTCGTTCGTGACAAATTAACAAGCTCTGTATTGATCAATTGTTTTAAAAGAACCTTATATGATAAAATGTTTGTGAAATAACCTTACAATATTTTGATCAAAACCTATATTTGCCTAAAGCAAATTAGAATGTTGAACCCGTGAGTTCTACTGTGTGAAAGATTCGCAGTTCATCCGCTGAGTGTAGGTTCAAAATTATCATGCAATGATATATAAGTACAAATTATATTATACATTGTTAAAAATTTTATTTCTAATAATTATCGTGGGTTACATATATTATTTGTAGTATTTATATTAGTTATTTATATTTAGTTGAGCTCAATAAAAGTGATCTAATTTTAGTGACTCTTTAGACTGCCAACAAGAAAAAATTGATATGGGCCCAAATAAGTGGAAACCAGATTTGGTCCGCTAGGGGTTAATGAGAACCCTAATAGGTTTAAAATCGTAAAGATGGTCATGGTCCCCAATATGCCAAATCAGAAACACACGTCTCTCTGTCTCTCCATCAGAATAGTAACATCAAGTCTCATTAAGAAACCCAGTGATTTGGCTGAGGAAGATCATTGCACTAAAAGACTATTCCGCTGCAACCTTTTGATCAACGTCAATGGATACAGATACGTGTTATTAACATTAACTCTGTAATCTGATACAACGGTTCTTAATATTAATTAATGAATAATTTCTATTTGGCTTAAGAAATTTATCCTAACAAGTGGTATCAGAGCTGCCGTTGTTATCAGGTTATGGGGTTCTAAAGCGTATTGTTACAAATTTTTTTCTTTCTTCATTGACAATACGTGTATTTGAATGCGTTGGTCGTTTTTTTGCTTCAATTTGGTTTAATTGATTATACAGATAAAGAGATCGATTAAAAATTGAATTTTTCTTAAAGAGAATTTTTTCTTTGTATTGTGAAATTGTATAATTTTTTGTGAATGTTATATATTTATATATGTAACAATTTTGCAATGATCCAGAAGACATTGTCAAATGAAGAAATTTTTGAGTTTTTTAATTTTCTTACCAGAAGTGAGATAATTGTGCAACAATGCAATAAAGGAATATTTTCTCACCAGAAGTGAGTTAATTGTGCAACAATGCAATAAAGGAATATTTTCTCACCAGAAGTGAGTTAAT